ATTACATTATTTTTACAATCTAAAACAATTTGGCGGTACATAAGTTAGTACAGGGAACCAGATCACGAGGCAGATCACCTATGCGCTGGACTGATCTAGTCAAATCGGCTACGGGAAACCCAGTGTCAGGCTGCGCCAGACAATCCACAAACAGAGAAAGATGGCGGGAGATCGTGAGGAAACCTGTATTGGCCACCAACACAAATGCGTCCGCCTCAACGTGACCACAACCGCTCTGCCAAGAGCGAAACGACAAAGAAGAAGAGAGAAGTTATTAGCCGTAGGTCTCTTATTACTGATTCGAACCTGGGTTGAGTTTTTAAATTCTAAGTCATTCCTGTTTTGAATCAACACAGAGTTACTGAAATTTGTTTCCTGTAAGTATGGGGGTCCTAACGTGGGAATTATCAATTTCGTCTTAGGAAGTAGGTTTTTTAATGCCGAAAAAAGGGCTTCTTGTACACAAAGCACCGCTAATTAGTTGCAGCGCTACACATCGACACAACTGTCATTTACACAGTGTACATGTGTGCGTAATTTCATATAACTGTATATAAAAATATTCGTCCACCACGTTCACATTGGTATTTTCATTCTTGTGTCGGTATACGTATTTTTATAATTTAATGCATAGGTAAGGTTAAAACTATTTACAATCATTGATATGACCCGACATTTTCACTGTCATTATCGTAGTGCTCGTGGTCGATTGGTTAATGAGCACGCTTTTATCGTCTTTGAAGGATCAATGATGTGGGTTCTATTCCAACTAAAAGTTAATTTTATTTTACCTTGTTATTTTTCTTATTTTTTTTTTGTTTTTTGTCATAAAATATAAATATCAGGCTATAAAAGAAGCAAATGAGTTGGTAAATAAAACAATACTATTTTTTATTACAATTAATTTATTTATTATACAAATATGTTGTTTTATATTCAATATTTATATCTAATAATTAATTATATACCACATGTTAAGTTTAAAGTTCTTTAAATCATAATTAATAGATATGACAATAAACCTCATAGTCGAATCGGGAAATATTATGCGGTACAGCGGTAATACGATGGCAGCAACGTTTTTTATTAAGTAGGTAATAAACAAATATACAACATTCTTGTTTTGTAATTTAATAATATAATGTATTATTAAATTACAGTTTTACAGTAATAAACAAGTAAAACATGTAAAAAATTACACTGTCAACATAATATTTCTTGAAATGGGCGACTTTTTGTCGTTTGAACTTCCATTAATTATCTATTTTACGACGGTTGTTATAAGGTTCAATATTCAGTGGGCTGTATGATAGTAAAAAGAATGTGACGAATGCTATGGAACGATTTTAACTTTCATGACCTTTAGAATCAGGGAAACTTTAAATTAATTGAAGATGGGCGTAAATATAATATGTCAATCAAGTTCGAAAGCAGTTAAATAAATTTGTTAATGAAAAATTAAAGTGAAGTGAATAAACATGTTGAATAGAAAGAAATTATGACAATTTCTAACCACAAAACAATAACATCACTTCACCGTATGTTCTAGACAGCATTTTAATATTCTTAAAAAAATTAAACATTATTTTATGTTAATTTTAATAAAGGCAGAGTTTGACAGGCTCAATAATGATTCCGAAATCAATACAATCACTGATCCTACAAGGCAGAAGGTTGCAATTCGTATACCTTTCTCCATCTTTTCTTCACAATATTTTACGCCCATCCTTATCCGACTTGAAAGTCTTTTCGTCGCTCAATATGATTACACTGTTCGCCCAATCAAAGTAATAAAGTCCTTAGCAAATTCTTAGCGCTTTTGCTGGTGAACCACAGATAACAATATTTTCTTCTCTGGCTTCCTGCACCTTAAACCAGAATGCAGGTGTCTCCGTACAGTTTGTATTAAAACATTCAGTGCTGTCGCTGTAGTGCGGGTTGGCAGGAACGGATCAGCCATGTGCCTGGCTACGATGTCGTAGTGCCGAGCCGATGAATTTGCCTTTGGTTTAGGCCCACGTCGACGATGTTTAACGTCACCGGTCTCCGCATATCTGTGCACCCATAACTGCATGGATCTCCTCTGTTGATACCAAACAAATAAGTATTTAAAATACCAGGAAATACTTTACAGGAATTAAAGTTATTTAAAAATAATAATAAATATAAGTAAACACAATGTTAGAATAATAATTTATAATTAAGTAGTGGCGTAAGGAATAAAAATCCCTAACCAGATATGTTTTAAAGAAACACTCCTAACAAAAACAAGTCAAGTTACAATACAATTAATAATAAATTATTAATATATCTTTATAATATTGAACTTCATAATAAGTTGCAATAATTATTTTATTCTAGTGCAAAAATTGATAGGTGTGTCGAGTTACAAAATGAAATAAATATTATTTAGAATATCAACGTAGTATCTTATTTACTCACCGATATCATTAAACGCCTTGCTATTTCAGTTATTGTTAGTTATGTTTTGCTCATGCAAAACAATGGTTCAGCCTTTTTAAATGTTGATAGGTGTTGGAACATCTTGTAAAAATAAAAATAACTTTGCACACGAATATAAGTAGTGTAGCAATAAACTATGAAATCCTCATAAATTGACAACTAAGAACGCAATTATTTTGTAAGTCGGGTGATTTGAAAAACATGTTTTAAATAGTCGGTAGTTACTTCATAAGCGTGTAAAATAAAATGACTCGAGATTTCTATGGTCGCCACAAACATTGCAAATATACTCAGGTATCGAACCATTAAGAAATCACAGTTAATTACTTTTTTACTGTTTTTATCTTATTTAAGTTGGTTGAAATGCATGAAGCAAATGAGATTATTCTAAATAATAAATAACTAGAACTAAAATATAAATAAAAGATATTATAGGTATAAATAAATCTAAAGTATTTACTATTAAAATTAACATAAGATTTAGAACAATAGGAAAGGAAAAAAAAGAAAAGATTTAATTGTTTCTAATTTCAAATTTCAAATATTTGATAAATTAATTCTAAAACAACATGTGAATGTTGGAATCGATCCGGCGGCACTTTACTTGACAATTGGAGGCGATAACCATTGCGCCAAGCGCGCTGTAGATGAGATCATCGAAATATTTTATATCATTCAGTAACATAAAATTACAATGAGAAAGCACTATATTTATATGGGTATTGTATAGCTCGATCGTTCATTATTTTTGATTTCGATTTATTCAAAGTTTGTTATGAGTAATTTTATCTTTACCCTCGTTTTTATTTAAACTTATTTACTAAATTATTGCGTATACCGACACAAAAATGATTTTTAAATACCAAGATGTGTGTGATAGACGAATGTTTCTATACATATCTATTGATATGAAATTACCCACACATGTATATTGTGTAAATGAAAGTTGTGTCGATGTGTAGCGCCGCTAACTAATTAGCGGTGCTTTGTGTACATACACGGTTTATCGCCGTGAAAATCTGCGGTTAATCGAACTCAAAAGCATTTATTTCGATTAAATTGTCAAACACCAAGCGGTCACCGGTGACCGCAACCTATTGTTCTTTAATTGTGTCTATAAATACGGTACTCGACGAGTTAAACCATAATTTGGTACTTTTGAAACGTCAAAAAAATAATAGTATGTCTGTCCGTCAATGAAACTAGGTTATCACCTGGCTATGATAGGAGAAGAATAAGTGAGAATTTCTAATCATTACTCTTTTCAAAAAAAGTATGTTTTACAATTCCAATTTGGTGTGTAGCCACGGTCGTTAGCGTTTTATGGATCCCTATGAAAGCTTGTGACACGGCTGTGCTGTGGCGCCGGCGCTTGTACCGTGTCTGCCCTAATGATAAGCAATCAGTGCCGCCAACAGATATTTGTATCACTCCGGTAGCCCCGCCTCTTCATATCGAAGCATAGCTCTTATATAACTATTGTGATTTAATATTCTTAATCATTTTCTTACAGGATGAAACAATGTTTCTCTTTTGCGTTGCAATTATTTGGCTATCAAAGAACTTCATTTTTCTAGCAACACTGATTTTGGAAAGTGAAAGATTTTACATAACTACTGAATGTATTCAAGATACTTGTAGGTCACTATTGAAGGGTCCATGTGATGGTATGTATTAAATAAATAATAAACTGTTTTTTATCAATAATTAAGTACCAAATGCATATACATATTATATTAGTGGCTCTTGGTGGCTCGGAGGTTTAATACGCCCGCTTTTCATGCATGAGGTGCGGGTCCAAAACCTACCAACGGCAAGGACCAATGTGACTTTTTCCGAGTTGTATGTACTTCCTAAGATTATTTAGACGCCACTGACAAAAAGAAAAAAAACATCGGGAGGAAACCTGGACTCATAATTATAATTATAAGTTTGAAATTGCCAACCCGCATTGACCAAGCGTGGTGAATAATGCTCAAACTTTCTCCATGTCAGAGGAGACCACTTATAGGCTGTTGATGTTATTGTTGATAAAATATATTAGAAGTAATAACAATTTATTAACTGTTTTTATCTTACAAACTGCGAATCTTCGACCCATTTGCCAAAAATTGAAACTTGGGCACTCCATCCTATGTAGAAGAGGCTTGTATCCCTTTCTAGTTAAAGTATCTCTTTATGAAAAAAGTATTGTGTTATAGGTAAATAGGGTAGATGACTAATTCTTTTTAATATTCGTCTGGTAGATTATTTAAAAATATTAGACATGTATTCATAATTTTTTTACGGAAACGAATAGTTTCGAAGATATATTGATTTAAAATGTCGCGTGACTTCACTTGTATGTACATTTTATACATAGAAATGATGTTTTAGCCCCTACTCCTAAACTTTGATTCGTTATATCTAAGTATCATTTTAGTATACAACAAAGTAAAAAAATACGTGTCTAATATTTTTTCATTACCTAACTGACGGACTAGTTAGATTTTAAATTTTCATACCCTATCATAATCCCTATTATACATTGTTACTAATCAGCCCTTACCATCGGCTTTGCTTGCGTATTTCTGTTGTATCTCATGGGACCATTTAATTGGGATAAAAAGTCTCTTATCACCTGTCAGCTCATACGCTGCCTGTACCAAATTGACGGACATACAAATACACTTTCACATTTATAATAGATATTAGTGCCATAATATTTAATGTTGTGTCATATACATGTACGTTTATATAGGGATCTATTTTATGAAAGTCTATACTATTCTTTTTTAATGTATTTCTCTTGGTTATATAGATCTTTAATACGCTTGCTTCTTGCATCGACCATAGTTTTAGTCTATGCATCACCCAAAGGTCTGGCTGGAGGAGAATGCCCATAGCATAAAGCCCACCTTGTACAATTAGGGTGTGCGTAAAGCCTTTTAAAATAAATTAAATATGAATGTTTGGATGAAAACTAAATCTTTCGATCGCTACTTTATTTACAGAGTATGAGAGAAGGCTGTACAAGAACGTGTTACGCCTTCACCGCGCCTCATTCCACAAGATCCGTGTGTGCGGTCTGTTCTACGTGGACGCCGCGCTACAACTGAGTCTGACAAGCTTGCTAACTAGTTACACTATCATTTTGTTACAGTTCGCAATTTTATAAAATAAAACTTCATGCAAATTTATCATTATTAAAGAAATTTATACTCATTTATATCATTTTCATAAACGTATTTTCAAAGTGCATCATTTGCATTGTAAAAGCATATTTAACGGGCAATCTCCGGAACTGCTGGTTCCAAGTAAATAATTATTTTTGCTTTGGATAGGTTAATTATTGAGGAAAGCAACAACTTAATCATCATGCTACGATCAATACGAACCAAGCAGATAGGTTGCGCAGATAGTGCGCGATAGGAGCTAGTCCTTGGCGACGAACAAAGCCGCCAGACTCTGGATACCTCCGATAAACATTTCGGACCGCAGATCGACTTAAATTAAGTTGCGCACTCACGTTTCTTTGGCTGTGTCCGGCCTGAATAAGTGCCACAGCTTGGGCGGCGACTTCAGGTGAAGTACCCATAGATGATTGATAGAACCTCACATTAATGTTAAGAATAGTCGCGGAGAACCTAACGGGTAACCAGGGCTCCGGCTCGACGTGCAGGAGAAGGAACGGGGTGGTTTTTAGTCAGTAAGAGTCTGCAACTCCCTCCCGCCTCACGGGCGGGCGGGAGCAGTGATTCGATGATTTTCATGTTTTCAAAAAAAAAATGTTAAAAATAAGTAATGTTTGTTGCAAAACCAAAGATATCAATCACTTTTTCAAGAAATAAATCCTAGTAAACTAATAACCAAGTTTTTTTAGTATAGTATTCGATTGTTTGATATCAACAAAAAGACTCCAAATTGTTTTTTATTTTTAAAAATTCTGTGTTCGAAATTAAAAAAAAACCTTTGAATGACATTGTGAATGTGACCTAAAATAAAATTTTAGCTAATAGGACCAAACGAAACTGAAAATACAAGGTGGACCAATAGATGTGTCCAGAAGTGTATACCTTTATCATTGTAAAAAGTGTTGTTTTATTTTATTTTAGTTATAGTTAAAAGAATAATTTAACATGTTAGCTTTAATGTTGTTGTTTGTAAGTATGTAAATATACATATCTCTCTAGTGTAACATGTGTGTTAAATCTTTGTGAATGTAAAATTTGTATAAAATTAAAATTTGCTGTAGTAATTACTCTTTGTTTAATTGTTCCTCACTGTGAAAACTAATAATAGTAGAAGTTTTTTCAAATAAGAAAGGTAAACACAATGTATATTTATAATAAACTTTTATACAGGCTGTCCCTGAAGTCGACCATCAAATGGCACCAGGTGATCGGCAAAGTTCCTTCAGGTATCAAAAAAATAAATAAATAAATCCAAATATTTTCTAATAACAATGATTAATGTATTATCTACGAAAAACTAGTTGGAGCATTTAATAAATATTCTAAAATGATATGTTACTTCCTACATTATTCCTTAAATTAGATGCTAAAAATATTTTTCAACGAAACTCCGTGTCGAACATTTTATTAGGACTTAGTAAAATATCCAAGGCGCACTTACGAATCTCGTATCATGCATCATATTCCGTTCGTTAAAATTTTCGGTAGTAGGAACCCGCCAGTCATGATCACGTAGTTTGATTAGAGGATCCTCCGAACTCAATTTTTTTTTGATGAAATAAGTTGTTTAAACGTGCAAAGGACTTGTGCACACTGGGACACAACCGTGTCACCTCCCCACTGCCATGCTGTGCACACGATGCCGCCGCGCCGACATCGTGCCGCTCGCTGCTACGTCTGCCTGATTTGACGACACATTACCATGCATTATGGTGTTAAACATCAAATGTTCTTTAGTGAAATGTGATCTACAGCATAATATATGATCCTCTAGCAACAATATTGCCGATGAATGCTGCGAGTGAATCATAAGTAGACAAAGAATGTTCTTTTATAGACCTTTGCTGATTTCTAACATGTTTAGCAGTATACTGATGACGTCATGTCGCATGCAAAGGGTTACCTAGTGCATCTGAGGTTTTTAGGTACGCTTTGGTAATACTAGAATACATTTTACTAAGTCTAAATAAATTGTTTTAAACGGGGTTTTCGTTGAAAAGTATTTTTTGTGTCAAATTTAACTCGTCGAGTACCGGTTTTATAGACACAGTTAAAGAACAATAGGTCGCGGTCACCGGTGACCGCTTGGTGTTTGACAGTTTAAGAAACAATGTAGGGAGTGGGCCAGGAGTAAAGGCGCCAACTTTGGTGAAATTTGCCACTACTACCGCAGTACATTTATTTTTAGTACAGTCACTTAAATTAACGCGAAAAAATTATTGACCGTACTCAAGCAGTTGGCTCAGAATTTATGATTTCATAATACTGAAGCACAATTCAGAATAATGTGAGCAAAAATACAGACAAAAAAGCAAAGAACAGTAGCAACAAGAATCGAAAGACTGGCTCAGGGTTTACTTTTATTATAAAATGAAACTCGTATGAATTCTCGCAACAGACTAAAACCCACTTTTTATTTCACTTTTTATATAGGCAATTACAGGTACAATAAAACACTTCATGTTGACACAAACATTCTCATAGATGGCGATGATATATATTTTGTTACATAGTTCTATTACATTTTAACAACTTTTTCGCAGATAACACATTTAAGTCTTTGTCATTTAAAAACTATCGGACTTGGATTTTTTAAAATATTTTTCTGATAACTGTTGGAACCTTGCCGATTACCGTGTCATTTGATCGACGATTTCAGGTACACCCTGTATATCAATAATGAAAAATAGTATGACGTACCTTTTTGTTTACTTTTACTTATCAATTTAGCAAAAAGATCGCGTATAATGGAATAAAGATTTGAATATAATGAATATCATGGAATAAACAAACACCATTACTATTAACAAAGAACTTTAAATAAGCTACTTGCAGTACTCCAAACAATTGTAATTGTTGAAAGAAAGTTAAGCATTTCAGATAAAGAAGTTTTCTAAGCAGGTAAAACAGTAACCCAGACAAAGCCTTGGTACCATATAAATATACCACATGCATGGGAACTTTGAACCACAATACGGATTCATTTTATTGTCTATATAGCAATCAGGTAAAAGTGTTACTTAGTTCTGGCTACAAAAGAATATAATTTAACACGAGGTCAAGCTTTTTTATGGAACCACTGAATCGAATCATGAACTTTGGTAGGGACAAGGTATGCTTTTAGAGAAGATCGTATCATATAGATGTGGAATTAACATTCCAGATTAATTTTTACTCAAAATGGAGGAAAAGATACATTAGTAGATATTTGAAGCCGTAAGTTAAGTTGAATATTAAGATGAGATATTATTTATTATTAATTACATAAGTGAAGACTTCCATGCTCAACTGTAATCCCGTAATCTGTTAAATTGCATTCCCTAACTTTTAACTTTAACGTAGTTTAGTTATTCATTTTTATTTTTAGTAAGTAGGTACGAGTCTGTACACAACTTATCTTATTATTGAACAAAAAAAATGTATGTAAACTATTGTGTCAACCAAAGTCGTTATCTAGTCAAAATGAACAAAGTAATAATAATAATTTTAAGTATAGCAAAACTATTGTATCGATTGAAACTAATTGTTAACTACCCTATTGTGTTACTATGAATAACCCCATTCATTGTTTCGTTATCTCTCAGGATGCGTGGTATTTTTAGGGCCTATATAAGGGCAGGACCTTAACGAACGTGCGCATTTACAGTTTAGACTGCAAACGTCAACTCTCAACACATTGTGAAGTGAAGTGATCGTATACTTTCAAACCGACAATGAGTTCTCCAAACCTAATCGACAATGCTGATACCTTGCTACGCACAACACCTAAAGCTGTACTTCCAAAAACTCACCAAGAGATACATGGTCTGAAAAAAATAATAATGTACAGATACAAAAACGATGCACGAAGAGAAAAAAAGAGCTGCAATGGCTTGAAATGGAAGAAGATTAAAGAAGAACAAAAACAGCCTGCTGAAGTTGAACCATCCTTCCACACAGCGTTAAACGACAGTCGGTTCATTGAAGAGTTTGAATATCTAAATAAAATTGACGAAGGATCATACGGCGTTGTATACAGAGCTCGTGATAAGTCAACAGATGATATAGTTGCTCTGAAAGGACTTAAACATATAAATGAAAAAGAAGGATTCTCCATGGCTGCTCAGAGGGAACTAAACACCCTACTGAAAATAAAACATCCAAACATTGTCGCAGGGCAGGGTATAGCGGTGGGCTCTAGTAATGACGAAAAGTTTATAATAATGGAATACGTGCCGCACCAGTTAAAATGTTTCTTGGAGACAATGCAGCTAAATCTTCGAATATTCTCCCCAGGACACGTCAAATGCTTGATGACGCAACTTTTAGGGGCAATACAACATCTTCATGACAATAACATTATACATAGAGATCTTAAAACCGACAACATACTTTTGTCTCAAGATGGTGTTTTAAAGGTGGCAGATTTTGGATTGGCCCGAGAATATGGATTCCTTCTTCAGCAATATACCCCGCGCGTGGGCACACGGTGGTACCGTGCGCCTGAACTTTTGCTACTTAGCCCAGAATACGCAACTCCTATAGACATGTGGAGCGTTGGGTGTATATTTGCTGAATTAATTATCTTGTCACCACTGTTCCCTGGCAAATCTGAGTTAAATCAGTTGAATAAAATCTTCATGGATTTGGGTACGCCGTCTGACGCAATTTGGCCGGGCTTCAACTCGTTACCGCTGGTAAGAAAAATCATGTTTAAAAACCATTTACCGGGCGGGTTGCGTAAAAAGATAACCCACGAATATCTTTCTGATAGTGGTTTATCCTTACTGGAAGGATTATTAACTTACTGTCCTGCAAGACGAATAACAGCATCCGCTGCTTTAGAGCACGAATACTTCAAGGAGCAGCCGGTGGCAGTCGAGCCGGACAAGTTCCCGATGTGGATGAACTCTGTGGACAGCGGTAACTATTCCGACCTGGAATTAGAAATAGATCGCGGCTCTTACCACAAAACTCGATTAAGTTCACTAGACACCGGCGTACTTATTATGGACGTTTGATAATATAATATTAAATTTAATGTTATTGTTTGTAAATATGTATATGTAGGTATGTGTATATCTTTATTGTAGCAATTTTATTGTGTTAAATCCTTGTGAATATGAAATTTGTATACAAATAAAATTAGTTATAGTAATTTTATTTTGTTTAATTGTTCCTCGCTGTGAATGCTACTAATAGAGAAAGTTTTACTAAATAAAAAAATCTTTTAAAAACCGACTTATAAACTTTTTGTTGTAAAACACGATTTATTTTATCGATAATGAAAAATAGTTTGCCCTACCTATAGTATAACAACTGTTTGTTCTAAATTATTGTAATAACACCTTTATAAAAGGAAATTTATGTGAAATAATAAATAACCAGCAATAATTTAACCATTTTTTATTATTTGTTTCGTTTC